GTGGTCGATTTTCCCCTTGCGTGCCTGCCGGTGCTTTTTGGACGGTACAAGGACCTGTTCCGTCACGCAGGAAGGGGACGAAGAATGTCCTGGATGTACGGAGTATGGCCGTCAAGTATGTACTATGTAGGCGAGCGAGATGATGGCTGTTGGTTCGGTGTAGGAGTTGCGCATCGTGCCTGACTGATATCCGTTCGTATTTGCTCGTATTTCTTAGTTGCCTGAATGCGATTCGTTTGCGTGTCTCGAGTGTATAGTACATGCAGGTATAATAGGTATAGATCAATATCTTGGAACGGTGCTGAAGAGACGGCATTTTGAGATAACATATTCTGTTCGTTCTGCGTATTCCCCAACTGTTTGTCTAGGAGGACGTTGCTGAGAAGTATCAAGCACGTAACCAACAACACTACTCTTTTTCTTCCATTCGACCGTTTGAAATACCTCACAGAGGCAGGCTGCTCATGTCCACGCTTCCTGAGATGGCCGGCCCGGCCATTCGTGCTCATACCCCGAACGTTACATGTACAAGCTCGCTGTAAACACGACATCTCGTCGGATCAATTCCCTCGCCTTGTCCATCTTCTGGTACAGACTCGGATCACCAATTAACCTCGCCGCACTCATGACTTCTCGACACGTCTCGTCTAACCTCGTGACGACCCGCACAATCGTCCCTTCCATCACGTCCGTCAGATCCGTGATCCGATTGAACGACATCCCTCTCGCCCACTCGTACACCACTTCAACCAGACCAAACCGCGGTCTCGAGACAAAGTCGTTGGCATCGTCGGAGGAGAGGATAACTTGATGCAGGATCTGGAATTTGTTCACTTTCTCGGCAATCTTGATGATCTCGTCTCTGCCTCTCTTGAGGTTCTCGGTGAGTTGGGGTTCCGAATCCGTCTTCTCCTGGAAGACAAAGGCGGAAAGGAGGGCCACGATCTCTTCGGGTTCGAACCTGCATGATCATCTGTCAGTGCATGTTCCGGTCGCGCCCTTTCGTAGACAGCAAGAAACTCACGATGCCAGCACGTTCTCCAGTATCAGCTCTGTGAGCACCAGTTCGTCCGCGGAATGGATCTCGCACGCGACCTTGCCCTTCAGCTGCACGCGCGACTCCTCGTCAATGAATTTGAGATCCTTCAGCACCTCGGTTCTCTGCTGATAGTCCGGCAGGAGGGATAGATTCTGGTCAGACATGAGCATCTTCAGGGCTTGGATGTTCTCCTTGATCAACCATTCGTCGTGCTGCATGCCGTAGTGCTTCAAGAAACTGTCACACGAGAGACTCTTTGCGTTCTGGAAGATTGTAGCAGCTCTCTGCCGCTCGACTAACAACTCTCGGATGGATAGTTCGTGCACTTTGTTCCATTCCTGCTCGTCCCACGCCGTGGAGATCCACGACGAGTACACGGTGAGGAATTCATTTTCCACAAACTTCTGCTGCTCTGCATGGCTATTTAGTAACAAACGTAGGTCAACCTGCATTGGCTGTAAGTATACTATTACCTTTTCGGACCTGGATGTACCAGTTGGGGCCTTTTACCTTGACGACCGTCTGGGTTAGACATTCCACATCGTCCAACTGGACCTGGGCAACGCTCCATCTGACACGGGCCACCTTGCTGGGAAGAGGGGAGAACACCGTGCGGACGCGTGGGAGGTAGGGGAGGAGATCTCGCGTCGATCTCTGCGCGTCGACGTCGGAAATTTCGAGCACTTTGAGCGAGGGTCGGGGTCCGCCGGTTCGAGGTTCGTCGAGGAGGATTCCTACCATGCGTGTGCCATCCTGTGCGAGTCAGCTTGGAGGGTCTCCGAAGGACCCGAAGAAGGGGATCTGGTACCTTCTTGTACACTATCAATCTTTTGGCCGTCCAAAGACGGCGTCCAACGGGCGACGAGAGCAAGCGAATGTGGAGCTCTTTCGTCAGCCGTTCGAACTGCATAGCTGCTGCGTGAGCGGCTTCGAGGTCAATGTCGCAAACGTCGCAGGGCTCCCGCTTGATTTTGTCGAGACTAGCCTGCGATAGCGCAACCTGCTTTTCGTGCTGGGGGAGCAGAGCCTGCGTGGCGTTTTCAGAGAAGCTGCGCTTGATCATCTCCTCAATCTTCAGAGCTTCGACGCGCATGAGATTGAGAATCATGTTGTAGTGCAGTCGGAACTGGCTTCGGAGCTTCGTGGCCGGGCCCGTAATCATCTGGGCGAGTTCTCCCGCGGGAGGTGCTTCGGTCTTGCCAGGCGTCACGATGATGACCGTGCCGACGGTGTCGAGGCCTCGACGACCCGCTCGACCCGCCATCTGGGTGTATTCTCCTGGAAGCAGATTTCGAAAATCTCGTCCATCATGCTTGCGGTATCCCGAAAAGACAACAGTGCGCGTTGGAAGGTTCAAGCCCATGGCAAATGTCTCCGTCGCGAACAGCACCTTCACGAGTGTCCGTGCGAAAAGGATCTCGACGATCTCCTTGACAATCGGCAGGAGACCGCCATGATGGACGGCGACGCCTCGACCCAGCATCTCTCGCAAGCGTCTGATCTGCGGCAGCACCCGATCCTCTGGCTTCAGTCTGGCAATCGACTTTTCGATAATCATGTGAATCGCACTTTTCTCGGCTGCTGTGCAGAAGTCTTGGTTGGAAAGAGAGTCGGCATTTTCTTCACACCTCTTCTTGGAGAAGACGAAAATGCACGCAGGGAGCAGGTTTTCCTTACGGAGATGCTGGACTAGATGTACCCATAGATTTCTGTCCTGGGCAGCGGTCGTTCTGCCACCACCACGCCCTGTCCGTGCAATATTGCCTTGACCACGGTTAGGCGTGGGGCCGCGGCCACGCTGTTGTGTGCCACCTCGTTGGTTTGGCCCGCCCCGTTGTGCTGGTTGCCCCCGACCGCCTCGCTGTCCTGCCGGGGCGCCACGACCTGGCGCACCTCGAGCTGGAGTTTGCGCCTCGATAGCTTTCTGCTCTTTGACCTTGTCGAGTCCGGAGAGGATGTCGTTGGCAGCCTTCCATCCCTTCTGAAGGAAGCGCTTCTCCGAGTCCACGATTTTGTGCATCTCCTTGCCGGCCCAGAGATAATGTTCTAGCGGCACGGGTCGTTTCGGCGTCGAGATCACGTAGATATTCTTTTTCTTGGTACGACCGACCCAGGAGGCGAACTCGTACGTGTTGGGCACTGTGGCCGAGAGCAGGATGAGGGTCACATGGTCAGGAAGCATGATGATGACCTCCTCCCAGACTACGCCTCGTTCGAGGTCATTGACATAGTGTACCTCGTCGAAGATCACGAACTCGACGTCTCGGATGAGGTCAGCGCCACGGTAGAGCATGCTGCGCAGAATTTCGGTCGTCATGATAAGACAGCTGGCTTCAGGGTTGATCTGTACGTCACCAGTGAGAATGCCGACATCGTCGAAGACGGTTTTGAAGTCGCGGAATTTCTGGTTGGATAGTGCTTTGATGGGAGACGTATAGATTGCTTTGGTCATGTGTTTCGCAGCCAGCGCGATCGCATACTCCGCAACCACGGTCTTTCCAGCCGATGTGTGCGCGGCCACGAAGACGGAGTCGCCGCTCTCGAGATGGTAAACGGCCTCTTTCTGGAAAATGTCAAGTTCAAATGGCCATGTACGCGCCATCTCAGGCACCAGTTCATGGAAGTTGGGGATGTCCTTGTTGATGTCAACCACGTGAGCCCACTCTTTGCCAGCGGTCTTCATGGTCGCAGATATCAATTCCCCATGCGGTTCAAGTGACGGAAACTCCACTGGCAGGAGCTCATCAAGGTCGGTAAAGTCTTCATCTTCTGTCTCTTCAGCGCCATTCTCCAGTGGGGCCCTATCCTCGCCATTGCGCTGGTCATCATTGACATCCAATTCCACGTCATCATCGTCCTCCAGCGTCTTTTCCACATCCTCAGCGTCTTCTTCGGCCTGGGCGGACTTCTTCTCGGCCAATTTCATGCCCCTGCTGAAGCCTGGAGGTACCTCGAGAAGGCCTTCATTTCCTCCAAAATTGATGATGCGATCCAGTCCGCCGGACTTCTTGGCCGGTCGCTTGTTTTCTTCCTCGAGCGTCACCTGGTCTTCATAGGCTTGAATTGCATCGACTCCGTCCAACCCACCAGGTGCAAAGGGAAAGAAGCCCGCAGCGCCGCGCACAAAGTCGGCTCGACTGGCTGGTCTTCGGAGCAGAGACGTCGAATTCTTCGCTGTGGCACTAGACGCCGGCACCGTAACCTGTCGGTAACCCGTGATCTTCCCTTCAAGACCTTCACGGGTGAAGCGGGTGACTGTTCTTGTCTGCGTAGGGGCTAACTGGCACAACTCAGCGTGATTGGAAGATTGGTAGTCCCATCGATGCTGCAACTTGTTCAGCCATTCCGGACTGAATGTAGTCGGCGGCGATAGAAATTGCTGCTCCAGCTCGTCTTTAATCTGATCAGGGGTCTTCTGGGCATACAGGACAGGTGCCATTGCGGTGGCGTCTAAGTCAATCGCGTTGTAAATATTGACCTCGGCATCAAATCAGTGACTCGATGGTGGTGAGAAAGTAATTAACTCGACGAGAGTGAGGTGGAAGTGATTGAATCGACGTAAAAGTGGCGTGGCGGCTTGGAGCCAAGCGAATTTGCAGCGACGAGCCCCGGATTCTCTGTGTACTTGCAATTCAATGAAGGTCGGCCGATCGAGCCTCGCACGTTCCTCCCGAGTACAAAGCCTTCTCGGTGAAGGGAGCTGGATGTAATCGTTAACGGGGCCTCAGGGAGCAGTTGCATGCTACGGTGCGAGTGGAAAGGAGTCTACCAACATCATCTGCGCAAATACACCGCCAGTGGCGCCATTCACTTCTGGCCCAAAGAGAAAGAAAGGCAGGCCACTGCTCTGACACAATGAAATCGGCCTCTTGTCCTGTCTCGGAGTCCACAACCGCTGCTAACCCGACGATCTGGAGGACGGACGCCGCCTCTTGAATACCTTGGCCATCGGTACCGTAGTATGGCCTCCCAGACGAACTTTCAGCAATCCTTCGTGCTACCCAGAGTGGTGAGCAGTTTCGTTACTGGAACAGAAACAGATCGGTTCAACGTGTACGATGTCAAGTTCTACCCGTACTCCGATCCTTCGAACACAGAACCCGTTTTTGCCGTTGTCTCTCAGAAGAAAGTCTACATTGCTCGCTTGTCGGCTCAGACTGATTGTGTCATCACGTTGCTTCATGAATTGGAGGATGAGCAGGAAGTGCGAGACGGTGATTCCTCGGGCCTCAACTCATGCTCATGGTGCTACATCCACCAGGACCAGCCCCTGCTCGCCCTTGCCGGTGGATCAGGCCAACTCAAGGTGATTGATGCCGCTTCAGGAGAACATTTCACAACACTGATCGGTCACGGGCATGGGGGCATCAACGACATTGCAACCCATCCAATCTTCCCGTGGATTGTCGCAACCGCTTCGGTCGATAAGAGCGTTCGGATCTGGGACTTGCGACGACACAGCTTCCGGCATGAATCACACACCATCATCATCTGCGGCCAAGCAACAGGCCATTCCGAAGGCCTGTTAACCCTCTCGTGGCACTCTACCGGAAGATACTTGATCACCGGTGGTCATGACCACCTCGTTTGTGTCTGGACCATCCCGGATCTTGCAGAAGGGTCATCGTTTTGGCGGGAGATTGAACCAGAAAGCAGGAAGCGAAGCTCCGACGAAGTTCACGTCATCCATTTCCCTCACTTCACCAGCTCGGCCGTACATCACGACTTTGTTGATCGCGCAAAGTTCTTTGGTGACCTGGTCATATCCAAAGCCGCAAAAGAAGGCAAGATCGTGCTATGGAAGATCACTGGCTTCGACACACAGAAGCCGCCCCCAAGCCCCGTGACGGCCCCTAAGGCCGAAGAACATCTAGACACGCGTAACGGGTTTATGCGTACGGGGAGGATAGGCAAGAACGGGGTGGAAATTATCAAGATCTCGCCTGAATTCGAAGACCAGCCCCCCTTTGAAAGAATGCTGGAATTCGAGGCTCCCAACAGCGACCCATTTTATATGCGCTTTGGGCTCTTGTTGCCCTCATCCGACTATCCAGAGCTACCTCCTGTTCTAGCCTTCGGCGATACCGCTTCCGAAATTCGCTTTTGGGACCTTGAACGACTTGCGCTGGGCTACTCCGTCGGCCTAGATCCCAAGAAAAGCAGTCCAGTAAAGAAGAGAAAAGGAGTTGCCTCGAGGGCCAATCGAGCCAGCATCGTTTCTCAGAATATTGTGGACGAACAGGACTCTGCACTTCGGTTGCGTGAGTCCACTGAGTCTTCGGTTTCCAACACCAGTTCCGGATTGTCGGCAGCGCGACAGGCTTCGACGGGGGCAACCAGTGAAATATCGGATGACCCGGTGCCGCGTGGTCCAGATTCGCTAATTCCATCTCCAGATCGTGCAAGCCTTCCTATTGATGATCCGCACCAGCTGGTCAAGCACCATAACACAGCCAGCTTGGCAGACTTACGATATAAGAGACAACGTGCATTCATGACGAGGACAATTGACTGGAGTCCCTGTGGGAGATGGTGTATAGCGGTGGGCGAGTCTAAGCTGTCGGAGGAGGAGGGTTGTGGTGGTGTTGCTGTCCTACATCGCTGACAAGGGTCAAAATCTCGCACTCGACCACACAGTCGTCTTTCTTGCATCAGATGCAAGCTCACTCGAATCCTGTCGCATTGGCGCCTTCACAAATACACGGATTCTGGCGGCTTCAACTCGGCGTTCGCTTCCCGCTGGTGCAACAGCCACCCGGAGAATGCGGGGGGCTGGGGTCCACGGATGCCATGTGCTAATTACTCGTACATACGCGAAACCCAGCCTTGCAGATAAACAAGGGAAATTCCTCGCCTCCGTCGCATCCCATCGTGCTTTCATGCCCCTCCTGGTTTGGGGGCTCTCATTCTCACGTCCTCTCTGCGTCACTTACGATAATGAGGAACGAGTCGCGAAGACTGTGCGACACCTTCCACGATGGATATTGACGCCCAACACACGCCTGCGCATTCGGCGCAACCTCAGAAGTTCCTGCGCTACAGATCAGTCCGCAAATCTGCACCTAAAGACGCGGAACCTCAGACTAGTCCTCCTCCTCCTCCTCCCTTACCGCAGGTTTCGCCGAGCGCTTTGACGCGACTGCCTCCGCGGTATCATCGAAGACTACCTGCGACTCAAAGCGCGCCACCGCCAAACGTGCCGCAACTGCCCCCGGACAATGGTCACGCGACTGTCTCAAGAGTCCGAGGGAAGACCGTTGGCGGGGCGGCTGACACAGATGAGCCGATCAACCACAGAGGAGCCGGCGGACGCAGAATGGTTATCCAACAGAACAGTCCTAATGCGGGCACGCGGCAGACGACGAGCAAGACCACCTCACGCAAGCCGCCATCAGCCTCGACCGGGCGAGTGTCCGAGCCCGAAGAACTTCGGAGGTCGTATGAAGCAGCCAGAGAAGAAGCGCGGCTTATCCTCGAGGGTGAGCACGACCGTCTGATCGCACTCAGACAGGTGGAGAGCAGACGTCGGCACCAAGAGCGGGAACGGCGCAGAAAAGAGGAGGAGAACGCACGAGAAGTGGCACGCACACATCAGGCGGAGGAAGAAGCGCTACGCAAACCCGAGGAATCAGCGAAGCGAGAAGCCAAGGTGGAGGTTGTTCGTGAACGATTGAAAGTCAGCCAGCATGCCCACGGTGTTGGACGTGAAGAGGACGCGGTTGCCTCCTCTGATTCTGCCATGGAGCCGCAACGTGACAGCAAGAGTTCGAAAATGCGTACCATGGTCATTGGCGGACCAGCGCCCTCGAAACAGGACACCCGCGGACACCGTCGGCGCGCATCGTCCGCTGTCGAGCAGCTGCAACAGCAGCCAAAGGCAAGTCACGCCAGAAGGAACAGTGCTAGCCGCATCGACAAGGTGCCGGGGGGTGAAGCACCAATCATGAAGCCAAACTTTGATGCTCCGGTATCTGCGGTGAATGCTGGCGAGAGACGGGTTGGCGTCAAATGTAGGGAAGCGTTCATTACTCTGCCCGTCACCCCTTCTACGACGGCCAAGGACATTCTCAATTCCGCATCGCTATGTATGTCCGAGGCGATTGACCCTAGCACAGCCGTCCTCCTGGAATCGTTTTCGCAGCTAAGCCTGGAAAGACCGCTGCGCAGGTATGAGCGGATCCGAGATGTGATGAACTCGTGGGACAATGACTCGCAGAATCATCTTTTCATCATGGCCGCAAGTGACTGTGCTGTCTCGGGGTTGCACACCGCAGACGCTCCCCGACAGCAACCGTACGGGACGACCGTGCAGATATACCATTCACAAAGGCCTGGCAAATGGGACAAGCGGTGGTTGAAGCTACGAGAGGATGGACAGATGACCATGTCGAAGAACGAGAATGGCATTGACTCTACCAATATCTGCCACGTCTCCGATTTCGACGTGTACACGCCTACCACCAAGCAGCTCAAAAAGCTGAAACCCCCCAAGAAGCTCTGCTATGCGCTCAAAAGCCAGGAGAAGTCTGCCGTATTCCTCGACGGCGCAAATTTCGTGCACTTCTTCTGCACAAAGGACAAGGAGATCGCTGACAAATGGTATCACGCCGTCCACGCCTGGCGGAGTTGGTACTTGGTGAACATGCTGGGTGAGGGTCAACGACAACCCCCCGGACCAAATCTCGGGCAGCAACTGGGCGGTCGACCGGGTACCAGTGACTCGAAGGAGTCTCTGCCTTATGTACTCGGGTCTTTCAAGCCACTGCTTGACTCTGGCACGAGCTTTGAGATACGTCGGAACGCTGAGCTCGGCTCCACTCGCCGGCCGTCACATTCTCAGACTCAGAGACCGCTGATCGACCTCGTCCCAGCAAGACCCAGCTTTGACGAGATAGTGGCAGGATCGAAGCTGCCCACAAAATCGTCAGTCGCTCCTCCCACGGCATTTCCAAAGAAGTTTATGGTCGAGTCGGCGATGAATGGCAACGGGATGGATGAAGAAGGGCCTTTCACAGGGACGGGTCTCCTGGCGCGTAGTGCCAGCCGTCGGACGCAGGGCGGTTCCCGGCCAGGTCACGCCACCGCAGGCGCTGACGGCAAGCCTCTCGTTGATCTGGCTTCGACCAGCGAGTTTACGGATGGTAGTCTGCTGCGGAGGATGGAGAGCCTAGCTGCTCGGCAAGGAGCATTCGAGCCCAAGATTGATCGGCAGAAACGGAAAGAAGTTGACGTTGCGGTAGGAGAGGGGTTCTAATCCTGGACGCGCATGAGATACGGTACAATGGATGGCCTCGACAGTTGGGAGGGAGTGTCACGATGGAATGAATTGCATGTGGTCAACGATACGATGGGACGCACGAGTCGAGCAGAACCCGCAGATGTTGCTCTTGTCGACGATTCATGCTGTTTGCGTGGCTACGGGATGGATTTATACCTTGATGAATGACCTGAGAGACAATTGATGCTGGTGGCCAGTGCCACTGTCAGCATTTACTGTAGTGGTGTTGTAGCCACCGTCACGCGGTGCAGAGAGTGTGTGCAGTGTTGTGTATGATACCATCTAAGCTACCTCATGAAAGCTCCGGAGACATCGATACCATGGGTCACGTGAACTGCACGTGACATCTCGTGCTCAAGGAAAGAGCTCAAGTTGCACCCGCACCGCAACAAGTGGCGTAGAAGGCGCGACCGCGAAGTTAAATTCACCACTGCTTCCAGACACAACCACAGTTGTATTTTACGCTTAGTTCCAAACCTCGTCTCCTGACACTTTGACTTCTGATATAGGGTCATTAGCCAGCGGCAAATCAGCTATGAGAGAAAGAATGCCACCGCATGTTACGGAGTACGAGCTGCCGCGGTCGACCCAAGATGGGCAAGCCACATGCAGGCGACGGAGGCCAATCGAACTGTAAACAGCAGAGCTCAGCCGCGTTGACTGCACAGCAAAGGCGAACTGCCTTTGGGCGCAGCCTGATGGCACCATCTTCGGTCAAGTGACGCTTCAAGACCTCAGCTTGGTCCACAGCAAGCCGTATCATCGAGATAGTCGTCGAACGCTTTCAATCGAAACCTGACCCTTCAAGCCCCTCTCTGTGTACGCTCTGTACCGTCCAGCGTCGCTATGGATCCTGTAACCGCGCTCGGACTCGCCTGCAACGTCGTTACCCTCGTCGAACAGGGTATAGAAGCTGCGGCTGTGTGCAAAGAACTCTACGAGCGAGGGTCACTGGATGAGAACAACAACATTGAGAGATACGCCGATGGCCTTGCAGCAGCGAACAATGAGTTACGGGCAGTCCTCAAATCTCACGCCACGACACGTGCAACTAGGCTGCAGCAAATTGCGCAGGATGCGTCCAAGATAGCCGCTGATCTCAAAACGGAGCTCAACAAGCTCAAACTGTCCAAGAGTATTGGCAATAGACGAACAGGGAGCGCATTCAAGACGACGCTGAAGACAATCTTCAAGAAGGGGACAATCGACAAGCTCCTAAAGACCTTGGAGAAGCAAGAGGCTGCGTTGCAGGCTGGCCTTCTGAAAGAACTCTAGTAAGTCAGCTCAACGCTCCCCTGTGAACTTTGTGTATACCACATGGACGCCAGCTCGATTGCAGATCGTAATAGCACTGGGCGTGCAGTGTCTGTCCTTCTCCAATGCATATCACTATACCTTGTTCTAAATTGTATCAGCTTTAAAGCGGGCCAGGACGACCTAGCCCGACGGAAAGAGTTCAAGGCTCTGGATCAAGCTCAGAGAGATACCATTGTCCAGATATTGGGCCGTCTTCAGCTTGCATCCACTGATATCGAGACATCCATCAAAGCCACAGGGGCTTCCATAACTGGACGCCTCGATAACCACCATTCTGCGCAGACCAGCTACCTCCGGGATCAACAACTAGACGCTCTCAGAGTGCGCCTTCTCGATGCTTTAGCCTTTCAAGAGATGGACGGACGTCGTAACATGATTGAACACCGCGTCTCGGACTTCGCAAGCACTTATCGCTGGGTATTTGAGCAGCCTGACAAGCGCCGCTCTAATCCCTCCCGTTCCTATGATCATGAATTTGTCGAGTGGCTTCGAAATGGCAAAGAGATTTTCTGGGTCAGTGGGAAACTAGGCAGTGGCAAATCGAGTCTTATGGACTTCATCTACCAGAATTTACATGCACGCGGTTCAGGCTTTGATATGTTGGCAGAATGGGCACGTCCAATGCCTGTACAGGTTCTTACTTTCTGGTTCTTCAGACCGGCTACTAGTGTGTTGCTCAAGTCTTTGCAAGGAATGTGGAGATCTTTGTGTTTTCAGATGCTGGAACAAAACGAGAAGCTGGTGGAGACGATCCGGACTGACGATGATGGCCTCGCTCCCGCCAGTCTCAAATCTTGCCTTACAATGTCGGGATCTCGCGCTCAAACTTGGACGGATACTGAACTGAGATCCTGGTTTGAGTACCTGATCACACATTCCGAACACAAATACTGCATCCTCGTCGATGGGCTGGATGAGGTTGCAAGCGACCACGAGGCCTTACTTCACGACGTCCGCTACATCGTCTCCATTTCAAACACGGTCAAGATCTGCTGCTCAAGTCGACCCGAGCCCGCATTCAAGCGGACGCTCTGCAACTATCCTTCACTCATATTGCAGGACTTTAATCACAATGACATTCGAATGCACTGCCAAGAGCGACTTGAGCAAACCCGAGCCGCGACATTCGCAACACGGATTGCTGACATGGCTGATGGCGTCTTCTTGTGGGCTGCCCTGGTTGCTGGAGACCTCCAAAACGCTGCAGGCCAAGGCGATTCCGAAGAAGATCTCGAGTTGCGCTTGGAAGGGTGTCCTGCTGAAATGAATGACCTCTTCACGTTCTTGCTTGAGAAACAGGACACTTTTTATGCAAAACATCCCAAACCACACCTTGCACTAATCCACGCCTCGACCAAGGTGGATATGACCATCAACTCGATTGACCTACTTCTCGCCTCCTCGGGACGAGAACAACTGAAGGAATTCTTCGAGAGCGGTCTGAATGCTTCTCGCCTTGCAGCCTTGGACACTCTAGCATCCAATATGGAGGTGAATATTGTGGCGAGATGCGCGAACCTGGTGGAATTCGACCGAGAGGATATCTGGTACCACTCATCCCCAGAATTCCCAGCAGAGTTCTCTTACGAGTCATTGGAGAAGGCGCGTACGACGAATATTCGCTTCATTCACCGTAGCGCACAAGATTTCCTGGTTGAAAGTGAAAAGGGTGCTGCTCTTCTCCAGTCTGGTGGCATTGCCGAACAGGACGCCATCAAGTTGCTCATGCTGTCCTCTGCGGTCATTTCCACCATCGACCAGTCTGATGTCAGCGCCGAAAGAGTGTTCGCATATGGGAGCGACATACGGCGGGAATTTTGGACGCCTTATGAGACATATGTCGCGGATTCTGTCTTCGCAAGTGTCCAAGTGCGAAACCCGTGGGGTCTGCCCTGGAACTTAGCCAAATCAGAAGACGGACAGTAACGCACCGACGACAACATCCCAGACGGCCTGGTTCTACTTTGTCCACAAATCTCAATTCAGCAAAACGTGGCCCTCCATTATGCGGACGAGTATGACATGGTCGCATATCTTAACTCGAAGCTAGTATCTCCCGGTTCCAGCGTATCGAGCGAACTGGTCAGTTTTTGCCTCATCCAGTGGATATATAAAGGCAGGAGCGGCAGGGACGACTTAATTGGAGTGCTCAAAAAACGTCTCTCATGGACACAGAGTCTTACTCTCTACTACGGGATGGGGTCCAAACTCGATGGCGCATATTCTCCACCTACCAAACTACCCTTATGGCAGCACATGTACATTGCTCTTGCCAACTCATATTTCCAGGTGGACCTAAACGATTATTTACCGTCTTCGCACAGCTCCCTGGGTCATATTCCTTTTCCCCTTCTTGAGGTTCCCTATGTCGAAGGCCTCATGGTTTGCACAGCCTACGGTAGCTGGATGTACCCTATGATGACTGGGTCAATGACCTCGGTCGAGCACAGCATTTCCTCCTACGACCTCTTGGAAGTCCGAGTGAAATTGGATGAGTCCGTGGCACTGAGGCGGATCAGCCTTGATTTTTGCAAATATTCTCCTGTGGGCTTGGCTGAATTCTTCGAAATAGATGCCACTGTCAGTCAGTCCTTACAGGAACTCTTCGACACCAGTCCGATGTGGTCCGCATACGTCGATTGTGCAGAGTCGTTGGTACCTACCCTGAACCAGAACTTGGATCGACTAGGCTCAGTTGAGATAGCGCAGATCTTCACCCGCCAACCGATCGCACGTAGTGCAATCTTGCACACCGGACAGCCACTTGAGAACGTGATATTCTCTGAAGGCGAATTTCGAGTCGTAGGAGCGTATTGCAGAGAGCTATGGGAAGAGGCCCTTAAGGTCAAGGGAAACATCGAGGACGGAGAAAACAACGGTGACAAAGAGCCAGAACAGCGAGGTGAGATAGACCTCGCATTGGACGAGATCGTGAAGGCTTTAAAACCCATATGGTTGGAGGACGAGCATCTAGAGAGTGAGTATCGTCGGCGACTTTACGATGGTCGATTATATAGGGGATTTGAGGATTTGCGCGTTCTCGCACAAGTCTACGAGGTTTCGAGGCGGCGCGCGCGAGCGAGTGACTGACCGACGCGGTATCGTCCGACATTCAAAAGGACGAGAGGAAAGGGGGGCATCGGATCCGAAAAGAAAAGACCTCAGACACAAACACTCAGCATCCTTGCAGGGCATATACACAGTGACACTCTCGAATCTTGATGGAGGGAGAGATCGCTCGCTCAGATTGGATAGATGTCGACTTTACCATCGTCCTTGGTCTCAGAGAGATGTACGTAGTAAGAGGCGTGGCATGTGAAGAAGCGTGCATTGCCGCTACAGAGGGGAGAGGTAGAGGGGAGAGGAATCGGCAAAGGCAGCAACCCTCCTTCGTAACTCGGAGCCCCCCTACGGAGTATTCTCCACCCTATGCGTACAAGCCACATGTCTGGTAGGCGAAACGGGAAGGGGGTGGTGTTGTGTTTGGTGTGTTGTTCGGGGGCGGTTGGAATGGCGGGAAGTATGGTTATAGACGTCGAAATCGACACCCACGCTGCAGGTATGTACGAGTTATATGCGTCAGAGGCAAGCCAAGCTCAAGTCCGGCCTGGCGGTTCTCTCCCTTATACTGTAGCGTGTGGGTTTCAGTCGCACCGATATCCGCCGACAAAGAACGGCAATAAGGTAGAAATCGAAACACGCACCTGTCACGGGGCAGTTGAGACGAGTACCGAGCAGAGCGGGAAGTATTCTTCTAACAGTAAGGCACTGTAGTGTGTACGTCAAGTAGCGCTATGTACCTAGTTGTGCGGTATGCTCGAGTAGAGTATTTGTACGGAGTGGTATACTGTGTATACCTGCTTAGCACGTTCATCATGATGGGGTATTAAGATGAACGGCCCGCGAGCCATCTCACATCGCCAATACGCTCGTAGGACCATAGACTCAGCATGTACTGTACGGAGTACTTACTTGTGCACGTGAACGAAACCCTTGGCACCTCGCTCACATTCGCACGTACCCGCTCACGTCAAATGCTCGCTGGTTACTCCCCCCTGAAGAAATCAACAATGGCTCTTGCCCCCTTCTGGCCCAACCCTCTCGGCGGATAGCATAGGAACAACGGATCATCCAACGTGTTGAACTTTGCTCGGAATCCGGTCTTCTGGTTCAACCTGAACCGCGCGGCCAATGTCTGATACAGGCTGTCCAGTGTGGCTGCCTTGGCGCCGCCGACGTTATGTCCCGTGGAGAGTTTGGCCGTGGCACCGCCGCCAAATGTGCACGTCTTGTATCCCTGATCGGCGGCTGCTCTTAGAGCGTGCTGGACCGTCAGTTCGATGGCACCGTTGGGCGCACCGGGGAAGTCGAGCGCCCATTTCACTTGGACGCCATAGCGGGGTGCCAGTTGGGCGAGCACGACCAACGAGTGGATTTTGTTGTCGGAGCTGGATTTCGCAATGAAGTACTGTCGGTGTGCGGCGTCCTTGAAGGGGGTGATCTCGCTGAGGTGGACTTGCTCGCCCTCCCGATTGTTCTGCCAATCCTTGACGCGCTGCTCGACCTGTCGGCATATGTCTTCGGGAACGTCGCTGCCGTAGTCGACCACGGTGATGCCTTCCTTTGTGGCGTGCCGGATCTTTCGGGCAACGTCACTCTCGATGTTCAAGTGTTCGTTGTTGGCCAGGTTGACACGCTGCTCCGCCACATTGGTGAAGCTCCTCCAGCCAAGTTTGTCGCCGAGGACTTCTTCGACTTCCTTGTCCACGAGAATGAAGAGTGGCCTGAGACGAGTCTCGCGGCGGAGCCACTTCAGGAACGTCGTGATCACGTCCTCATACTGGCTTGTGTGGCAGAGAGGGTTACCTGCGATGATGGCTCGATCGTGGGTAGGGACATAGGCGACCGCGGCGCCCGTCTTCTCGTCCCGCCACACGTGAAAGCGTTCGTCCATCCACGATGTATTTGTGGCGTCGCCGTAGTTTGCTACCAGGTTCTCGAGCGGTTGGAGACGGCCTTTGGGACGGTTTAACGTGTCGTCTTCGGGATGTCGTAGAACGGGTGCCTTGCTTGCAGGGAAGGATTTCGGATCGCGAGGAAACAAGGTTGCGTAGCGCAAGTTGCCGAGATCGAGGATGAGGGATACCAGTCGTTCCAGACCGATGCCCGCGCCCGCATGAGGTGGTGCCACCCACTCAAAGGCCTGCATATACTCCTTGAGGTCATCCGGCTTCATGCCCTGAGCTTCCATCCGCGCTCTCAGGACATCGTAGTCGTGAACGCGTTGTCCACCTGACAGAATCTCCTGTCCCCGAACCATAAAGTCGAAAGAATTGCTCACTCGGTCGTCTTTGGGGTCCAGCATGGTGTAGAAGGGACGTGCTGCCGTGGGAAACTTGTCCAGGATGTAATAGTCAGTGTTGTATTTTTCCTTGACCAACTCTCCCAATCTTCGCTCAGCCCTGGTAGGTAAGTCCTCGTGCTCTGATTGTTGGCTCCCGTCGTCATTCGTCCAGCCAGAGTCGTTCAGCAATTTGACCCCCTCTGCAAATGTAAGCCTCAGCGTTTTATCCAACCAGATCAGGTCGTCATGTGGGAAATGGCGTTTCACAATATCAACGTCGTTCCGGTTACGGTCGTATATAGTCTTGAAGATCTCCTTGAGTGTGGCGTCAATCAACCACATTGCTTCATGATAATGTTGGTCGATGGCCATTTCAAGGTCCAGTCCGGTGTACTCGGTCATGTGGCGAGGAGTGTTCGAATTCTCTGTTCGCAACTGTCAGCTGATTCTTCCACCGGACAGCACAGCAAGGAAACGTACCAGCACGGAAAACAGGACCAATCTCAAATACTCGAGCAAAGTCGGCTGATATGCACATCTGTTTGGCGAGCTGTGGGCTTTGAGCGAGAAAAGCCGGACGTCCGAAGTAATTGACTTTGAAGACATCAGCTCCTCCCTCTGTTGCGCCTCCTTGTAGTTTTGGCGTATGGATCTCGAGAAAGCCGCGATCTTCGAGAGTGTTGCGGAAAGTCCTACAAACGGACGACTGGACTCGGAAAATGGCTTGTGCGGATGGGGTTCGTAGGTCGAGGACGCGGTTGGCAAGCCGTACTCTATCAGAGATCGCGTGGTCGTCTGTGGCAGCATCGGCCTCGTACACGCTGAAGGGCACAGGAGCTGTTCTTGCCGACACAACGTGAATCTTCAGGATCTCGACCTCGATATGGTGGCTGCTTGTGCTCTTGACCTTCTGTTCGGGTTCTTTGACTTTGGCATTGACAATGACGATGCTGCCGGTCCGTAGGTGTTCCGCCCATCGGACCATGTTCTCACTGATCCCGCCGCCATTCGCACTGAGCACGCCTTGCACGGTGGTGGTCTGTTCGCGAAAGACAATGAAGGCGAGTTTTCCGCTCATGCGCCGGACAATGTGAACCCGAGCTCGAAAACAGATCTCCTTGCCAATCGAGTTGGGGTCAATCTCGGTCAGAGAGACCCACGCGGACTGCCGCGCATCATGGTCACCTTCTTGTTCTTGAGATTGCATAAGGGGGAGTACGCCATAGCGCTCTTTTGCTTCTGGAGAATCATCGTTGTCGAGAAAATCCTCTAGACTTTTTGTCGGCTGGCTATGTTGAAGCCCATCATCATCTTCATCCTCGGTCGACCATTCTTCTTTCTCGATGATGTCAGCGACATCACTCTCAGAGCCTCCTCGGATGCCCTGGCTGTCGTGGCAGGTCAACGTCTGGCCGAGTTCATGCTTGTGGTGAGAAAGCTTGTCGTGGAGGCTCGAGACGAGGGTTTTGACTTTCGACATGTTCGCGCTGAGAACGATAGGGAAGCTGGGCACGAGATGCGAGATTCCCGCATGGTGCAGAGAAACGCCGTGTTCAATTTCAATCCCCCATGATATCAAGTACACCGTCGCGGGTGATCAACCGGGAAGAACATCCGCCCTGGAAAAACTGGGCCATATTTCGGATCGCGATGACACAAACGTCAGACGTCATAGCCCAATTACGGATTTACGAAGGAGCCGCAGGCCCGGCAAATCCCCATGATCTTCATTGCAGGACCAGGGAACACGCACGAAATCCTGGATGTGCATATAAGTTTGCTGGGCAAGGCTTAACGTGTGGCCACGAGTGGCAGGACAAGAACAGCTGTTCCTGTCCGACTGGACGCGCTTGTTCTGAATGTGACGCCAGAGACTCGAATGGGAAAGCGATGTTCCAAACAACAATAGCAGCTCTTTGTCCGTGGAGATTGTGGAACTCGCTCGAGAGACATCAACCGAACGTGGTTAGAGAGACTTGGCAAATCACACAGCATAGTGATTGATCCGCCGTAGCAATTACGTTTCCGCACCCACACCGCTGCTCCGGCTCTCACTCAGCTCTCACTGCTCCCATGATCTCTTCTGATGTACGAAGTAAAGTAGACAAAAACTAATCAGTCTCCGGCGGAAGTCGAATAACATTGGTAAGACCAGCTCGTACAGCCCTCTACTTGAAACACACCGCCACCTCGGTTGTTCTGAAAACCAAGAAAGCACTCGAGGATCAAACCGCCAACCATGCCGTCATCGCTCTGGCTCATCGCTCCCCACGACGACCATGCCTTCAACAAGTCCCTGAAGGATCTGATCGACACCACGCTACCATCAGATTTTCCCCATGCGGCCAAGAATCCTTTCATTCCACACGTTACGGTAACCTCGGAGATTGATCCTGCAACGACTTATGAGAAATCATCCTCACCACAGGAATGGCTCGACGGCCTGATCCTGCCCGAGTTTCAAAAGGAAAAGAATGAAGTGGTAATTGAGCTCGAGCAGCTCGAAGCCGGAGAGCCCTTCTTCAAGAAAGTCACGCTCCGAGCAAAGAAGGATGCCAATTTGGTCAAGTTCGCCTCGAAATGCAGGGAGCAGGGGCTGTTATTGTCTGAAAGCGAGGCGCAGAAATGGGCCGAGAATGAATATCTTCCCCACTTGAGCTTGTTCTACGGCGACATACCCAAAGATGAAGTGCAGAAGAAAATCGGCTTGATCGAGCTGCAACTGGGGTTCGAGTTTGGGAGTCTGTTCGATTGTTGTGGTGGCACGCTGGCCATGGGTGCCAAACTCGTGCTCGTGGACACGAGCAAAGAGATCAAAGCCTGGGCGCCCATTGCGCAGAGGGATTGCCCTTGGGTCATTTGGACCATGTCCAGGGGTCTTTTGTGATGGCGGGTGGCCCCTCTGCAGATTTCGCATATAGCCGTCTCCTTGTGGCAATGCTCGCAGCCTGCACGTGGTAAACCCTCCACACTCAATTTTGGTCGACAATGATGGCACGGTTGTCCGAAACTCACATCCATACGAGTACTAGTGAATGGTGAATGGTGATTTGGCCCTCGATGTGACGGAGTCGCAGACCTAGCGGCACATCCGTGCTACAGGTGTGAACCCGCCGAAGGATGTCAATAGCCCTTGGTAGGGATGCATGCATCGGTTATACGCGCAGGATATATCTAATGACTGGGCTCAGGGTGGTGAGGACAGACACAAGTTGAAATGGCTGACTTCAAGCTCAGCGCACAGACGGGAGGGCCGAGACTTGGGTTGTCATCAATGATCTCGGCCTAAGCGATTTCTCACGATGCGCCAGAATTGCGCCGCCTCGTTTTGACGGTCTTGACATGAGGTTTGAAATACGCAAGAGCATATTTGACCAGACTGACGGGTGAGCTAGGTTTTCAGACGGCCGGAGCACAACGCGATCTGTCAAGCATGACGACTTCCAGTAGTACAGATTAGCCCACAAAAGAGGGACGCCGCTCCGCAAAGGCCTATGCTGATTACAGCAGTTGATGCGCGTGATGGGACTGAAGGCTCGCAGCTTGTCGTCTACTCAGTTTCCCTCTCGGCTGTGTAGTTGCAAGCTATGGCAGAAAGGAAAGCGGCACTAATTGTGGCTGAGGCGTGTCGCACTCCATGTCCCCGGTTCATACCATTGACTACTTGCTGCCCACCGGTCGAGGCAAAACGGTTGCGACATATGACGCGAATGAGCCATGGTGTTGGCTTTCTGCTTCTTGTGTCCACGTTGGGCCTGTCCTTTTTGACGGAAGGCGAACTAGAGACACATCAAGCACGAGCCGTTGGATAGCATCAACGCTGCACCGCTGGATCTTAAGATCCTTGATATTAAAGCACCAGGACAGACTAACGGGCAGCTGGGGTGCAGTCTGGGGTTATCAGAGTGCACCGAACAACCTCACCCGCAAAGCAATCCTCCAAGACTCTGACCGGAGACCTTCCATTGATTGAGCCATGCCAAGTGGGCTTGGCTTTCTCGAAACCGCATCTTTTCTGTAATCGTGTGGGCCTGCACACTAAGGCGGCCTGAGCAGGGTCCGACGAGGCAAGCTACTTGCATTAGGAAAACACAGCTTCGACCTGTGCCGATTTTGCTTGACGTGTACCCAGTATAGTCCTATTCTGAGGTGCCTATGCGAGTCAGCAATCACAGAATACTGTAAGACCAGCCAAGCCTCCTGCAAGCCTGGTACACGATTATGTTATCTGATCCACATCCCTTACGTCGAGTCGCGTCTTTCCATGTTGCATAGAACCTCAGACCAAGGACACGGCTGTATAGACTCGCTTTCTGCGTTTTGGCGTTGTCCCAAACCAGAGCCTGGAGAAGTTCGATCTTTGGTTGGGCTCGTTGGTTACCTATAGCGCTAGTCCACAGCTCATTCAGGCCGGACTACACCACATTGTGCGCTATGGTAGAACAGATGCGCAGCTGTCCAAGTCGAGCCCCCGGATATGTAACATTCAGTCAAATAGCACCTGACAAATTCTTGAGATGGAGGATGGGACGTTCTTACGGGCCACACACCCTCAGCTCCAGTTGCGAGTACCTGGCTTGGCGGGACCAGAACGGGCTATGCCTTGCATATAGCCCTGGCAGCGTCAGCACAATGCTTTATGGCCGAGCAAGTCTTGTTCAAATGTCTCATTTGGCCATCAGCTTCGAGACTGACCGGAGTCACGACAACCATCCTACTAGTGTAAGCTGACGGAGGAAGGAGTTACCATTCGGGTTGACATTTTGGGTCGACATCCAAGTACAGGTTGCAGGACAAAGGAGCATAAATAATCCTTCAGCCGCCCACTTGGACTCCCATCAACAGATCTTGGGAGACCACTCGCCTAATCGAGCAGGCAAGAGTACAAACGATCCGCCTGATAGCTGCATACATACTTGAATCTGGGGCGCCCTTTCACTAGAACCGAGTCGAACCATGGCATCTTTGTTGACGCCTCATCCTCTTGTAGTGGACCTCCTCAAGCAGCCGGATCTCACTGTCCTCACCGCCTCATCTCCAGACTGGGACAAGACCCGGGCGACTTACTTCATTGACAATCCTGCGCAGCCGATTGCGATCGCTCGCCCAAGAAATGCCGAGCAGGTGAGCACGTTCGTGAAGGCGGCACGCAGCCATGGCGTCAAAATCAGCGTGAGAGTTGGAGGGCACGATGTTGCTGGACGGAGTGTTGTAGATGGCTGCTTTGTCCTCGACCTGCGCGAGATCAACTTCATTGAGGTCTCCGAAGACAAGCAGACGGCCACCATCGGAGGCGGCATACTGATTGGGGATGTCATCAAGACATTGACCCCTCGCGAGCTGGTCACACCGTTTGGGTACTTTCCTACAATCGGATACGCCGGATGGGCCATGATGGGCGGATACGGTTGGCTAGCCTCAAGGTTTGGTCTCGGTGTGGATCAGATCGAAAGAGCTCGGGTGGTGACGGCTCAGGGAGGCATTGTCGAAGCCGACGCAGAGTTGTTGAAGGGGATTCGAGGAGCTGGTGGAAACTTTGGGGTTATCGTGGAGCTCGGAATCAGAATATATCCACTCGAGAAGGTGAGAGCTCCCTAACTTCACGCAGTCACCAGATCTGACGGACATGCAGCTTCTAGCAGGAACCATTCTGTTTCTGACATCGGACAGCAAGGCGAGCGTGCAAAAGTACTTCGCCGGGTACAACGCAATGACAAAGTCTCCCTATGGAGGTTGCGGACCATTCTGGTTCCCCAAGCAGGACGACTTGTCACAATGGATGTTTGGAGTCAACTTTTTGTGGAGCTCCAACGACATGGATGCTGGCAGACAGTACCTCCAGCAGGTGGCAGCTCTCGGTGATGGAGCTGATACTTCTTTGGTCAGAGAAACGACGCCTGTGGAGCTCATTGATCTCATCTCAGCATGGTCACCACCTAGGTCCTACGGGCGCAATGCTGGTAACGCGGTCAGTTTTCAAAGCATCACGGCAAGGCCTGCCAAGGTGATTGGAGACTTCCTGTCAAAAGCTCCGGTTGATACGGCCAACGTATTGTTGATTCATGAAATGCGAGGACAATCGGCAGAGCCGCATCCAGACTCTTGCTTCGGAGCACGGTTGCCGCATGGTGTGATCGAGCTCATCGGCGTCGTCATCAACCCCGCCAATATTGAAGCCTCTACGCAGAGGTATCGCGAGCTGTACGAGGGGCTCAAAGGCACCGGCGATGCGTTGGATGTGACATACGCATCGCTGACGCAGACCCGCGATACTCAGATCAGCAAGTTGTTCGGCAGTGAGTATCAGTTCGTGATAGACTTGAAGAACAAGTATGATCCCGAGGGGCTTTTCGACAACACCGAACCCAGGCTGCGGCCATAGAGGGTGGAGGGTTGTGATGGGGCAATTAGCTGACATCGTCAGTTCAGCGCAAATGCACGAACTGCGGGAGTGTCGATTGTGAGTTGGAGATGGCGGGATCGGTCATTTGAAATGCTTGGCAAATATGACATCATCTCTTCCTCGCATTTCGAAAGACGGTGGTCATGGGCGCCGGAACGAGAGCAGAGTGACGGTCATCTGCAGCCAAAAGCACCGCCCATTGATACGCGTCTGCTCTCTCATTGCCAGATCCTGATACCAATATATTCCCTGGCGTTCTTTGCCAGCTCACTCTCACCTCAACTGTGTGACTATCCTAGTCTCACCGTCAGATTGTGCCTGCTCTCTCCATATCACAAGACCTCAGCCCCATACGGAGTACTCACGCCCTCACTCACCCCTCACTCCATATCTTCCAGCGATTGCGACTTGACCGCTCCCTAGAGGTCCCTCTTTCTGCGACCGCCTCTTTCCTGGCAGTCACGGTCACCATGGCGGCGACTTCCTACTCCTCAGACCCTACGCTCTACCTCTATACTTCCCTGACAGCCGGATCGTCTCATATCATCACCGCCACCTCAAGGCTAGAAACTATTCTCAAGGCCAACAAGATCCCGTTTCGGGCTCTTGACTGTGCAACCGATGAGAAGGCTCGCATGCTGTGGGGCAGACGATCTAAGGGCAGGAAATTGCCAGGACTTGTGAAATATGGAGAGATCATTGGAGTATTAAGAGATTGCAACCCGTCGTAACGATGCCAGCTAACTTTATCCTGTAGGACCTCGAGCAAATCGAAGAGTGGAATGAATATGGCGAGCTCAAAGATCAAATAGCAGCTACTCAAGATTTCGGCAGCTTCACCGCCGGTACGGCCGCGACCAAACTGGCGCCCGAGGTGCCTGGTGCCAGCACTGCCAGTACTCCACAGAGATCAGGACCGCCCTCCCGCGCCTCGTCCGAAACTCGCCACATATCTATCACTGAGCCTAAAGAGAGAAAGGATGGAGATGGCAAGGCCGGTTCATTACAGAAACCTGCCGATAACCCTGTGAACATTGCCATGCGACAACTAGGCGCAGAAGCCGCAGCTAAAGCAGCTCAAAAGAAGTCCGGCGCTGCCTCTCAGCCACTAAAGGCCGCGGCCACCCCGGTGAATGAGAAGAGCGTCCCCGATCAAACTCCGTCCTCCGCAGCCACGAAGTTAAGCACTGAAGAAGCCGTCACCTCTGCGGATACTGCTGCCGAAGTTACTGCTGCCAAAACACCCGCTCAATTGGCGAGCGAAGGTGCAGGTAGAACCTCAGTTGACAAGATCGCCGAGTCGGAAGACAAGCTGGCATCAGGAGCTACCGAGATGGAACAGCCCAAATCAACAGAGGAACAACAACTCGAGATGCGGCGGACGAGTAGCGTGACCAAATCGAAGTCACGATTGAGCGACGTCACGCCAATAGCCGAAAGCGATACAATCGTTGCGGAGCCAGAAAATGTCAAGTCGCCATCATCAGTAGCCGTACCGGAAGGTGAGGTCAGCGCCAGACCCGCGGATATGCCACGACAACACCGGGGAAGTGATATCGGCCAGGCGAGCTTAGAAGAGATCAGAGCATTGGAGAAGAAGATGAGTATACCGGAGGAGGAAGGAGGTGACGACAACGAAGAAGAACCGGCTACCTCGGCGACAACCAAAGCAGCGGCAGTATCGACGACAGACAAGGCAGAAGAAGAGGCTGCCAAAGGGGTAGAGACACAGAAGACAGAGCCAAAGGATGCGGACAAGGCTGGGGTTAGTGTTGGTGATTAGGGGCTACAACATGCTGAGTCTGCTGAAAGACTGCCTCTTGCTAAGGGCGAGGCGACGTTGGATGGGGTCGTCAGGGGTAGAAGATGATGAGGCGCTCTACTCCTGGAGGTAATAAAACATGAACGATACCCGATGATGTTGTTGTTGTTGCGGGATGTTATGAAGAACGCCGTTTCTTATTCCGCGAGCAGGCCTACAGGATAGCGTAGATGACAGTCAAAGTTTTCTACGATAAGCATGATTTGTTTATTGGACAACTTGAGAGAGTCAACCTGAACAAAACACCTGCCTGTAAGCTCATACAGGCGACAGCTGGCGTGACATTTAAGATCCACCCACCAAACAGGCAAACCTTACACACGCCCAAGAAGCAGTCCACCCCTTCCTAGATACCTATGCTGGTATCGTGATCCGATTCCAGCTCCCCAGACATCGTCACTGTATTCCACTCTACAACCTCGCCCTGACGGTGGTCGCCTCGCGCACATTCTTCCACCCCCTGCCCGCGTCCTCGACCTCATCCAACCGCCAGCCGGCGTCCATGGCAATCAATTCGGCACACCGTTCCCCAATGCCCAAGACGGTCAACATGGGATTGATCGTCGGCATGGCCGGGAAGACGCCCGCATCGGCGATCCTCAACCCCTTCAGGCCGCGGACCTTCAACTGCTCGTCCACGACGGCGAGGTCGTCTTTCGCCACGTCACCCATCTTGGTCGTCCCCGCCGGGTGGTAGACCGTGTGGGCGACCTTGCGGGCGTACGCGGAGAGGGCCTCGTCGGACTGCACGTCCGGGCCCGGCGCGACTTCGCGCTTGATCCAGTCCTTGAAGGGGCTCTGCTGGGCGATCTTGCGCGCGGCCTTGATGCCGAAGACAAAGGTCGCGGCGTCGTAGCCCTCTGGGTCGGTGAAGTAGCGGAAGTCGAGAGCTGGTTTGACGGCCGGATCCGCGCTCGTGAGGTACAGTTTGCCTCGGGAGCGCGGGCGTGGGATGTTGGGCGTCATGCAGAAGGCGTCGATCGGGGTGTCGTAGCCCAGGCGTGACGTGTTCAGGCAGAAGGGGATCTGGTAGCAGTGCATCATCACGTCGGCGATGTCAGCGTCCGGCAGGGCGAGGGGGTTCGTGGGCGTGGCTTTGCGGCCCGCGGCGTTCGGGGCCTCGCGCCGGAGGAAAATCCCTGCATCCGAGTCCATGGTCGTTTGGTTGGGCGGGACCGGTTTGTTGAGTTCCCAGATGATGATCGTTTCGGGGTGGTCGAGCAGATTCTCGCCCACGCCGGGGAGATCCTTGACGACGGGGATGGAGAGGGAGGAGAGCTGCGAGGCGGGCCCGAGGCCGGAGAGGAGCATGAGGCGCGGGGTGTCGACTGCGCCGGCGCAGAGGATCGTTTCCGTGCGTGCTGTGAGGGTCAGGGCCACGCCGGATTGGAGAGTGAGGTTTATGCCCTTTACGGCGTCGTCGTGGACGTTGATCTTGGACACCCAGGCGTTGGTGAGGATTTTGAGGTTCGGCCTGTGTTCTTCGCCGCGCAGAATGGGGTGGATGTAGGCGACGCTGGCGCTGGAGCGGCGGCCGTCGTCCGGGTTGTAGCTGACGGAGAAGAAGCCGACGCACTCCTTCAACGAGCCCGTCGTGGCGATTTGCTTGTTGAAGTCGTGCACCACGGGGATATTCATGGCTTTGCTGCAAGAGTCGACCCAGTCGAGGCAGAGTTGGTTTCGATGCCGTTCGTGCACGGGCTGCACTGTATTGCGGAGTTTGTTCAGCACGCGCGTGAACATGGGGAAGGTCCAGCCTCTGGCCCCCAAGGACTCCCAGATCTTGCAGTCGTACTCGAATGGCCGAAAAGAGATCAAAGTGTTGTGGCTGGAGCAGCCGCCGAGAACCTTCGCACGGGAATGTCGGATGTGAGAGTTGCCCATGGGTTGCTCGGTCGTCCCGTAGTCGTAATCGAGCTCACCACCTAGAAGGCTGAGCCATTGCTTCAAGTCAAGGACTCGGTCGTCCATGAAATCGCTAGGCCCGGCCTCAATCAGCAGGATCTTCTTGCGTGGAAGGTACTCGGCCAGGCGGGATGCTATGACACAACCCTATCAGATTGAGCCCGTCAGTATTCTGGGTTCGTCTCTCTCGTTGGTGTCGGTGGCGGCCCGTCTCTACTACTCCCGGGAAAGAACATGCTGTTTCATAGAGACACCGGCTCTGCTCGACACGAGTGATTACTCACCGCCGTGCCACCTCCCACGATGAGGTAGTCATAGCTATCAACCTCCGAAGCATCCAGATGGTTGGTCGTCATATTGATCGTTGTATCCCAGATATTGTGGCTGTAAGACAAACCTAACAAGCTTGAGAATGGCCTGCGTCTACACCTGCTTTGTAGCCACAGAGACGGAATGGACGACGAGGACCCAACGTCACACGAGCAAGGAATTGGCAATTACTGTAAAGGCCGATAGAGAGATTGACCCACTTCAATTTCTGTATGGTATCAGTCCACCCATGGAAGATCGAGGCTTGTACAAGTAGATATCTGCAGCAACGGAGAGTGCCTTGGGGAGCACGCGGCAGCTGGCCTTGGAAACTGCATCAAGCGGATTCCACACCACCGGGCCACCTCTTGGCCAGTAATATTGACCGGGGAATCACACAAGAGGGGCGTCCATCTGCACCATCATTGCTGTTCTAGGCTAGCCTAGGCTTTGGGGCTTGTCCTGTCGTGGCAAGAAAGAATCGAAGCTGTACCCAGTAGCCTGTCGGCTGGTGGCGGTGAAAATTTTGGAGAGCAACAGTGTGGAGGCGAGACGGCGTGACAGGCATTGGATTGGAGCTGTCACGCCCGTCAAGGCCTCGTTGATGTTACCAGAACAGGTGCGGCTTTGCCATGCTCGCGACACGAGAGACACGCTCAGGACGCGGACGAGTCGAGTGGCTGCAACGAGGCCAAGCAGCTGATAACGAAATGGTTATCAGTCCCTGGCTCGGCTCCGGGTCACCACTCCCACAGTTTGGGGGAAGCCCAAGCGACCCGGAATCCGGGCAATATGCAGCTAACGAAGGATTGAAAATCGATGCCTGCAAGGGGAAAAATGTTACGGAAGGGTCAGCAGACGCCTCCTGTTCACAGTACGAGTATGCAACTTGACAGGATCAGTCAAGTGTAGCCAACTGCTGTCACCTGCAACACCGCTGGACGTAGAATTTTCTTACCGCTCCAGTTCGAACAAAAGCAAGACAGACAAACGACGAGGTGAAGGAAGAAAGAGCCAGAAGTGAATTGTGTCTGACCGGAAAAGCAACCGACCAATCAATTCTAGTCAGGTGGATTTGGATCGGGCGCTGCGCTGCGTGGGGCGTAAGAGAAGAACGATCAAAGCTCCGACCAGGTCGACGCTCGTCTCCAACGTCATCGCATCCTAACAGCAGCCAGAACACCAGCAGGTGACAAACTACCGTGATCCGCCAGTATCGCTTGAGGAGCACTGGAGAAAGGATTGTCTACGAGAGTGTTGCCTACGAAAGTGTTTTTTCAAAGATGAAGCTCCTGGAGCGCCACACCTTCTACGGAGGGAAACCCCAGCCATCATCGGCATCGCAAGCTACATTCAAATCGGTGGACCCCTCCACTGGGAAGGCTGTCTGCACAATCCATACCTCATCCCAATCCTCGATCGACGCAGCAGTCTCGTCAGCAAAGGCCGCGTTCCCCTCATGGTCTAGCACACCTCCCGTCGAAAGGGCCAGGATACTGCACAAAGCCGTCGCGATACTACGATCGCGGAATGACGAACTCGCCAAAATCGAGACCCTAGACACGGGAAAGCCATTCTCGGAGACGTCGACGGTTGATGTTGTCACCGGCGCTGATGTGCTAGAGTACTTCGCCAGTCTGGTCGCGTCGGGAGGTTTGAATGGAGAGTCGTTCCGACTGCGCGATTCAGCCTGGGTCTACACGACGAAGGAGCCACTTGGTGTGTGCGTAGGCATCGGCGCCTGGAACTATCCTATCCAGATCGCCCTGTGGAAGTCAGCGCCCTGTCTCGCGGCCGGAAACACCATGGTGTACAAGCCCTCGGAAGTGACGCCCTTGCACGGTCACTTTCTCGCCGAGGTCTACAAGGAAGCAGGGCTCCCCGACGGAGTGTTCAACGTCGTCTACGGCGCCGGCGAAGTCGGCGCATACTTGACGAAACATGCCGATGTCGCCAAGGTCAGCTTTACAGGACAAGTCTCCACGGGGCGAAAAGTCGCCGGCTCCGCAGCCGGCGAGATGAAGCATGTGACGATGGAGTTAGGCGGCAAGAGTCCAGTGATCGTCCTGCCAGAGGTGGACGTCGAACAGGCTGTTGACGGCGCGATCATGGCAAACTTCTTCAGTACAGGACAAGTCTGCACCAACGGAACGAGAGTGTTCGTGCCCGAGCACCTGAAGGGCGAGTTTGAGAAAGTGCTCCTCCAGAAGATGCAGTACATTCGGGCGGGCGACCTGATGGACATGAACACCAACTTTGGGCCCTTGGTCAGCAGAATCCACTACGACAGAGTCACCAGCTATATCAAGCATGGGATTGAGGTTGACAGGGCGAAACTCCTCTGCGGCGGCCTCGGACAGCCCCAGAATATCCCCTCACACTTGAAATCAGGATACTGGGTTCAACCTACCGTCTTCACCGATTGTACAGATGAGATGAAGATTGTCAAAGAAGAGATCTTCGGTCCCGTTATGGCTATCCTCACCTACTCGACCATGGACGAGGCTGTCGCTCGAGCAAACAACACGGAATTAGGTCTTGCGGCGGGCGTGTTTGGCAAGAACATCAATGAGTGCCACAAGGTCATCAAGCAGTTACAGGCGGGCATTACCTGGGTGAACACCTGGGGAGAGTCGCCGGCCGAGATGGCCGTGGGGGGCTGGAAGCAGAGTGGTGTTGGTGTCGAGAATGGACGGAGTGGCCTGGAGGCGTGGTTGAGGAACAAGAGCACGTTGGTTGAGATGGGCGGAAGCGTGCCTACTGTATTTGCAAAATTGTGAAATGGGATTCAACGGATACTTGACATTCGTTCGGTTATGGATGTACATTCCCCTTGCGCCATGTTTTATCTCGTCAGGTCACCGAGCGCCTCGCCAACAGGGAGTGGCATTGAAATCATGCTGCAAATGTCGAGACCCTGGAACCCATTCGGTCGAACATGAAATCTGACATCTTCTTGTCATTCATGGCGATGGCGGAGTCGACCAGTCTGGAAGACATGCTGTCCGGTGTCAACTCTCCGTCTTCCAAATCCAGCGGGTCTTTCCTGTCGGTGTCGATTTTAAGGTCCTTCAGACCTGCTCTCCAATTGTCCAGTCTTGACTGCGATCCTGGTTGAGGACTTGCCTTGGCCGTTTCCTGTTCCTGTTCTGCTTCGACATGTTCGATGCTCTTGAAGTACTATTGGCGCACTCGGATTAGCTTGTCTGCACTTGGTTGTTTGGATAGGCGCGTCCACTCACCTTGACTGTCTTCACCTGCATCTCGTCTGTTGCAGCATCGTCGCACACGATCATCGCCTTTTCGTGCATTTGAAGCGCACTGCACGTCCACATCTGGCTCACGCCTCCCTCGACGGTTTTCGCCAACGCGACGGCCTTGTTCGAGCCGAGTACAATGACCAGCACCTCTCTGGCGTCCATGACCGTGCCCACTCCTACGGTCAAGGCCTGCTTGGGCACCTGACTGAGATCCCCACCGAAGAACCGCGAGTTTGCACGTATTGTGTCTTCTGCCAGCGTCTTGACCCTTGTCCTCGACTTGAGTGACGAACCAGGCTCGTTGAACGCAATGTGTCCATCCGGCCCAATACCGCCGAGAAACAAGTCAATCCCACCAGCTGCGGCGATCCGCTCTTCGTAGGCGGCACATTCGGCTTTGAGGTCGGGCGCATTGCCGTTCAGGATGTTGACGTTTGCAGGGTTGATGTCGACATGTGCAAAGAAGTGCTTGTACATGAAGCTATGGTAGGATTCCGGGTGATCCTCCGGCAGTCCAACATATTCGTCCATGTTGAAGGTCACGACGTTCGCAAATGAGATTGCGCCATCCTTGTGCGCCTGGACGAGGTATTTGTATATGATTTCTGGACTGCTTCCCGTGGGCAGTCCGAGAACGAAGGGCTTCTCGGGAGTAGGCGCGAAGGCATTTATGCGATTGACGATATATTGGGCAGCGTATTTCGAAGCACCGTCTTTGTCGTCGCGGATAATGACCCTCATGTTTAACAGACGTCAATCTCGACAAGGACAGTAGTTGAAGGGGGAAAGCAGACAATCTACTCCGAGTGAACAGAGAGGGGCTGACGAGGAAATGGAGGAACTGGGCGACAAACCATTGACGTAGCCAGCAGCAGACCTTTTGAATTGGCTATCATGAGGCGATTACATATGTAGGGGCCAGAATGCGGAGAGAGGCACCCGTATCGGCCGCTGAAGAGTCTTGCAGTGGGAGGTAAGGGCATCGAAGGATAGGTAGCACAGGCAAAGGGTAAAGTGGTGCAACAGTTGCAACAATGTCATCCAACCGCTGGGGCACCCGGCAAGCACCCAGGCGGCAAGATTGGCCATCTTATCAGCGGGACAGCAGAATGCGCCGATGAAGTCAGCGAAGGGAGGGACACAGTTGGTTGGACACGGGAGGAGGAGGACTGGGAGGAAAGTGGAAAGCGAGCAGCGCAGCCACGTGACTGATTGAGATAAGGTAGCAATCGCGGGCCGAGATCACGTGATTGACCCAGTGTAACAGTCGGGCCTCACGACAAGCTCCGCTTAGGTGCCATTTCTGCTCTTCTCCAGCATTACATTTTCGACAACACGACGTTGCGAACACGGAATGCAACATCGCCTCGTTTCGCATCTCCCCACGTTTCCTATTCCTTCGCCAATGTTCCTTTGACGCCATGCGCAAACCCCATTGCGAACCCTGAGCTCCCCATCCCAGCTGTCCACTGGTTCTGCAGGCGTATCAGTGCCCTGCCCTCGGATCGCGACCGACTGCATACCGAACACCGAATTCTCTCACACTCCATTCCTCTCCTGTACCTAGTACAGCCTACTCACGTCTCATCCAATCGCACTGCATGTGGGGAACTAGACGTCTTGTCTCATCATGGCGCTGGCCACCAACGGGGATCAGCCTGCCCTGTGGGACGAATCAAGGTATGAGCGTGCCGTCATTCGTGAGGCTCACCCGTCAGAACTGACCCATATATAACAGACAGCTCGGCCAGCTCTTTATGATGGGCTTTGATGGCACCTCGGTAACG